ATTGAAGCCCCTATATTATCAATCCGCAACATAAGTGTAAGATGAATCGATTTAGCCATATCTCTATTATTATTATTATTGAATTATTTACACACACACAACTTCTCCTTCTTATAAAGGACTGGACTAATGACTTTCGAATATCTATTGATATGGTAGCCTCTCACACAAAGAAACACCAACGTACGGAAATTAGGCTGTATGTTTAATATTCTTATTTATATTAATTTATTTATATTTTCTAACATTTAATTGTATTGTATATAGTTATATTTGCGGATGGGGGTAGATTATGCTTCAGATAGATTATAGTTGTGTAGGGCGTTTTTTTCGGTGACTAGCCTTCACTGTGTCCGAGTATTGTCATTAGGCATGGGTCGATAACCATCGAAGTGATTATGGTGCCATGACAGTGACAAAGCTCTAGTTAACAAATAACTGGAGGTTTGGATATAAAAATAAACTAATCAAGAACTAGTCTTCCTCTATTTGAGTTAGACGTCTCCAACTTTGCACTGGATCTTTTTTGCTACTAGATAATCAAAATCTACAAATTAATGAAATTCTCTAAATACACTTTATTCTTGGAAATACACTTTTTATTGCTTACTACAAAATTAAAAGCAGCAAGCCATTATATGCCGATAACACCTACGATTTTTTAGACTTTTATTCTATTGTTTTTGGTGTTCTGATGTGAATTAATACTCAACGTTACTTATGTTTGTTTGACCACAATTTGGTACATCATTTATTTACAATTCCATTCGATATTACGGAATAGTCCAAATAGTATATATGACGTATCTGACTGAATAAAACAAACTTAAGAATTAAAAATGCAATTAAGTCAAAATTTGATTTGACCCAAACCTTTTTAATAAAATCTTTTCTGGTTTTTACCAGATAGCGAATATGTCATGTTTGGCTAGTTGCTGTCAAAAATCGAGCGCTCTATTTCACTGGAAATGCTAATCCCTATTATATTAGTTTTTTCTATCAATACTAGGTGGTAATTAATGAAAACAGTGCTGGTCTTCTTTATACAGGCAAAATGTCTTCTGTTTTATTATTTGCTTGCGATAAGTCCATATAAATCATAGTGCTGTTTCTTTAGAAGCTTCTGTTTTTATTTTGTTATATATTTCTAATAATAATATGTATTTGTGAGTAATATTGCATTAAAATTACAAAAAGTGGGATTCAAATATTTGTTGACCTTTTGATCTTTCTTTGTATAATAGTCTTTAATTCTTAAAAAAAACAAAAATATTCTAAAAGACCTTATACTTTATTTCTTGTAAACTTAAACAAACAACAAAATATATAGTGACAAAATATGTAATTAGGAGAATTTAATGTATTTAATTAGGATATTGCAGAATATATGGGCAAGAATTTGCACTTCATAGCCACATGGACACTTTGAATAGGTTTTTAAACTTTATTTAGTTGTATTGTTAATTGCATCTGGCTGTCTGTGAGAATATTGAACTGGATCTTCCATATATAGGTCACTTTTCGTTATTTTGTGATCTGAATGAATTATAATGAATTAATATCTATAAACTAGAAACAAAAAATATTAGTGCATACTTATGGCAAATGAGATATCAGTCGATACTTAGTAGAACTTTTCACTATGTAGATTGTTGGACTTTTCACTATACTTTAAAAAATCCTTTCAATATACTTATGATAAAAATATTTAAATCACAAAACATTTAAATGTTTATAAGTACTAAATTGGAAATATAAAATATTTCTATAAAGCAAATCATTTATGTGTAATCCATAAATAGTTCTCTTAGAAAACAAGTAACGTTAAGCGATTTCAATTGCAACTAATTGAGCATCGTTCAAGCCACCAGCCGCATACGTTTCGCGGCAATTCAACTTTTTCAATGTAACAATTCAATAAAAAGTACGTTCATTTAAATTTCAGTTCGAGGTTTTTATAGATTGTTACTTTAACCTATGTAATGGGCAGTAATTCAATTGGAAATCAATATCGTATAACTTTTTGATTATGTTAGCAATTTATGAAAATAGGTTAAATTTATTTTATAAACAAAAATACCGCCTTAGTTATATGCACGTACATATGTATGAAAAATTATGTATTAAAAAGTAACACTATACCAGTGTAATAAAATTCTTTTTTTACTATTAGGCGATATCAAATTTTTTAAATAAATATCTCAATTTGTTGGCATAGTTCTCTAAAGTAAAATTTATTTAATACTACAATTTGTTTCAATGTTTTTTGCTCGCACATAGTAGAAAATAGTACCTATTAAAAGCTTATTATAGAAAACTTGTATATAATTGGTTAATTAAAAACTTAAATTCCAGTAACGATCGGGCTTAAATACGACAGACATTCGTCTTTAACAATCAAGTGTATCTTTTCCATTTTCGTCTTACCAAGGAGACTTCTCTAGAATTGAAAAACTTCTTGGTCTAAAACAACAAAATTTTGAAATAAATAGTTCCGTTAACAAAGAAAATGATCGAATGTTTCCAAAAAATTAATTTAAAATAACAAACTAAATACAAAATAATATGATTTAGTTTAATAATCAAAAAGAAGGTGTATATTTTTACCTGTGTATTGCTGACTGACGTAAATCGTCCAATTTTTTTTTATGTCTGGAGACGAAAAACATCCTCTTCGGCAATAAGGATTGTCTTTGCACAATTGCGAACAGGATATAGCCAACAGTTACTGTCACCTCCATTTCCAATATATGCTTTAACTCTAGAAAATGCAAGATTTCTCCATCTGAACCAAAGCTTAATTCGATATATCTTACTATTTTCTCATCCATAGTTCTACCTCATTCTACAGTACTCTCATTTTATAAATATTTATATGTAATCTTGAAAAAATTTTATTTATTTTAACATGAATTATTTTTCTAAAGTTTTCTTTAATTTCCTCCAGTGTGCGACCATGCAATAATTGTGCTTAATGTCAAAAATCCTAATTTCAAAAAAGAACAATAAAATTTAGATGACCAAAAACAAGTAAATCTTGTGCATAATATAAAAAACATATGAACAACCATATTAACGACAATGTAATAATCCTTTAAAACCCAATTTTTAATAATATTTATCAAAAATAACTTCAAACACAGGCCAGGACATCACGAACACCTCATTCCTCTATACACTTTTACATAGTTTTCAAACATTTTTACTTCCATTACTTTTGTACCGCGCACTCAGCGAAGAAACTAGATGGAATACTATCTCAAATTTTTTGGGCCCCCAAAAACCCAGATCTTATATTGTTAGAATGAATTATGAAATTAAAATTAAATAGTATATTTTTCAAATATTATATTGTATATTTATCTTTTTTTTTAACTTCTTACATCTAAATTTCATATTGTACTAATATACATACTAATTTTTACTATATGTTCTATAAATATTTTTGTTTTTAATTTTCAGGTGGTGCCTTTGAAGGTGTCATTGATGACAACGTGTCACCATTCGGTTACATGAAAGGTGAAGGCATTGATGCGGGTTATGGAGAACATGAATGGATTTGTAATAAAGACAAACAACGTACAGATGCTATATTCTCAAGTCTTGGTCCAGTAGATGGAAAAATATCAGGAGCTGGTAAGTGGGAAATATAATATAAATCAATGTCATTTGTAAACTAATGTCAAATCTAATTTAATTACAGCTGCTAAACAAGAACTTATTAAATCGAAATTACCAAACTCTGTGCTTAGTAAAATCTGGAAGTTATCTGATGTTGACGGTGATGGCTTCCTTGATTCCGATGAATTTGCACTCGCACTCCACTTAATCAATGTTAAATTAGAGGGTAATGAATTACCTAGCTTGCTGCCCGATCATTTGATTCCACCATCAAAACGTTGATCGCAATGACTAACACTTGTGTTGTGTTATTTCCGAGTTTTTTTTTTTTTTGCTTATATAATGAGAGATTTTCTTCTAAATCTGTACACCATAGTCCACTCTCGCAAAGCTCCTCTTCAATTTGTGCATAAATTAAAGAACACATATACACATGGACAAATAAAATTGCACAAATTAAATTTAAAACGAAAATGAAATTAAACACTTACATAATATATATTTTCCTTTATACAGGGCATATAGGCTTAAAAATTGTTTATATATAATATATATTGTTTACTACAATACTTATAAAGCTTAAGTAAACTTAAATTAAATTGTGAAAGCAACTATAATGAATTAACCCACATAAATTTATACTATATACAAATTTATATATCATGTAAAATTATAGAGTCATATATTTTGGAATTATGTTTATATATAGAGTATACATATTTATATTTAAAAAGAAAATAAATTGTGTAAGTTGAATTTATATACAAGCACTTCTGCTTAATATAAATAGCATTTGTTTGTTTGATTAAATTGTATATTAAATTAAAAATTGAAATATTGTAAATTAAAATTAGCTAAAAGTATTCATGCATTTGCTTAAATATACTGATTGTTAACATTTATTGTATTGTATATACGTATATTTCACTCGGTATAACTATTTTATAAGTTAAAATATGTTCTTAAAAAATATTTATATATTATTATTTATTTGCAATAGTAGTTTTTTTTCTTCTTTTTTTGAATTCATAGAGTTTATGTCAGCTCATTTAATATGTAAATAATTTAAGAATAAAATGTTTGAGATTAAAATTTCTTTAAAGTTCTATAGCTTTAATTTATTTTGTAAAACAGAGCATGAATACTAATAGCATTAAGTACCAAAATATTTACTATTTTGTATAAATAAATTATGTATGTATGCCCTAAAAAAATTTTAGATAAAATTTGTTGATACTTTTCATATGTTGTTAAACTTTAAAACTTTTTTTAATTAAATATTTTTTCGTTGTTTATTACTTTACTCTTAATATTTCTAATATATTTTTTACTGTGCAATGATTTAAAACAATATTAATATTAGTATTTTATTTAGTTAAAGAAAAAATTTTTTTGAAGTAAAAGTGTGTATTGATTACCTTAAATATTTTTTTATTTATGTAGTAAATCAAATAAATTCAGTGTAAAAAAACTTTTTGTATTAAAATGCAATGATTTAATAAATACAAAATTATCAAAATTAAATTAATTATTTATTTGTTTATTCAGGATTTAATTGAATGTAATGTAATGTTGAGTTTTTTCCGAGTTAGTGCAACTGGGCACTTTTACTCTTTGATAGCTGAGGAGTTTCCACCTATCTCACTGACTAATTTCAGTATTCCTCATAATCGTTTTACATGATTAGAAGTACTGTAGAGAAATATTTAATACGACTGAATTAATTAGGAGCCTGATTACAAAATTGTATTGTATTCCTACCATATAATAAAAGTATAAAGGACACTAAATCTTATACTATATATCTATAGTTTGTACGGGACTGAGAACTTTTACTCTATGAAAATTAATAGTAAAAAATAATCATAATAATATGTTAGAACTACATGATTCCAATGGTGCAAAATTTTGCAGTATTAACAGATATTTTATACTGAACGTAAGTCATTAACTGATTAGAAGTCATTCTGACGGGGTTGAGACGTCTTATCTCTAGAAATACTTTAGTTATAGAAAGAAATATAATATTACATTTATCTACAGTCTAATCTCTTTATAACATAACACAATTAGTGGAAAGTTGGATACGATTTTATTTTATTTGTTTTTATATTGTTGACACTCTTGTGAAAAAGATTAGTATGGATAAGTTTGTAGTGCAATTTTAAAATAGGAGAATATATTAGCAGTTTACCCCTGAATCAATTGAATGGAACTGTTCTCCCACTTTCTTTAAATTTAAATACGAATATGTAAATAAATGATGTTGATTCATGTTATATTATAATTTTTGTTAGTATATAAATTAATCCCGATTTAAAAAAAAATCCAAAAATGTATTGAAAATTAAGTATTTTATTTAATCTCAAAAAATTATTTATATAATATTAATAATTTTATTAATTCCTTTAAGAATTTATATTATTTATAGCAGAATCAAAATTTAGAAATAATAACAATTAGAATTTTTTTATTTGAAAGTTTGACATGGTTAATTGTTACTATAATTTTATCATTTTCGGTGGATTCTTGCTATAATAGTATTCTTTTTTACATTGTGACCGAAAAGCTTTCGGAAATTCTCATTTAAAATTCGCGCGCTGTATATTTTCCGATATTTTAAGTTTATGTAGTTTGGCAGCACTGTCCTTAATTACTATGCCAAAAATGAGCGCGATCTGTCAGACAGTTCGTTTACGGCAGCTGTTGAAACCAGTTCACCTCAGTAGGGCGTTGCGAAAAAAACAATGGAAAAAAATATTGAACAAAGAGTTTGCATCAAATTTTGTGTTTCGAACGAAATTTCGTGTGCAGAATCGTTGCGAATGCTACAAAAGGCTTATGGGGAATCAGTTTTATCGAAAACTCAAGTTTATGAGTGGTACAAAGCCTTCCAGGACGGTCGTACGACCGTCGAAGACATTTCGCAACGCACTACTGAGGTGAACTGGTTTCAACAGCTGCCGTAAACGAACTGTCTGACAGATCGAGCTCATTTTTGGCATAGTAATTAAGGACAGTGCTGCCAAACTACATAAACTTAAAATATCGAAAAATATACAGCGCGCGAATTTTAAATGAGAATTTCCGAAAACTTTTCAGTCTTAATGTATACTATCTATGTTCTAAAAAAAAAAGAACGCTGATGAAAAAGTAAATCGTCGGTATTATTTTTATATAGAAAAAATCTATGTAAAATAAATAAAATATAAAAACTATAAAATAACCTTTTATCTAAGTTCAAAAAGCATTTTTAAAATACTTATCATCAATAAAAATTGAACCAAAAATAACCTAATAGTAGTATATAATATTAATAATATAATATATTATTAATTTTATATTAAATATCTATATTTACATAAAAAAACTAAAAGGAAATATTTCAATTTTTTATATATTATTAATTGATATCATATGAAATCTATCAAATTAGTAATAGTATAAAAGAAATTTAAAAAATCTCTATAAAAACGCTATGTTTCTTGTAATTTCAATAAAAGAATCAACAAGTTACCTTTGTTGGTCTACTATTTCTGTTTATCAACACTAAATTATCAGAAAAGTTTTTTGACTAAAAAAGTGTAACTTCTTTAATTTTTCACGGTTAGTGTTGAATTTATGTTTGGCCTTTTATTTGTAGTATAAAATATGACAAATAAGCAAAAGTTTAAGAATATTAAAATTCATGTTCTTAACAAATAGAAACATATTTTTGTGATTTTTGCCATAATTTTATTTGTGATAAACTCTAATGGTGTTTAAATTATATTTTAAATGTAAACATTTTATAAAGCTTCATAATAAAAACTTTTTCTTAAAAAGTCTGCGAGCTGAGTTTCATATTTTAAACTTATTTATTTTATTATAATATTACGAATGATTTGTACAAAGGAAACAAACTAAACAATTATTATTGATTAATAACATATTCAGTTAAAAATATATATCGGGTTTAAATTGAAATTAAAATTTACTTTATTTATATTTGTATCTAAATTCATATCAAAAATTAAAACTTTAGCCTTAAAACCAAATACATTTTCTTGATTTTTCTTTAAAATTGTTATATCTAGTAACATGTTATATTACCATATAAAATTAAATTAGTTACGATTCGTTATTATATAATGTATATATTATGAAAAGTATTTTTTTATTTTTTTTAGTGCTATGAAAATAAAAAAATTTGATGTTTATCAAATTAGTTCACCTTTAAAATAAAGCAAAAATACCATATAAAGTAATTACGTTCTCTATAACTTCTTTTAAACTTTTGGTAAAGACGTAAACAAGTTTTTTTTTGTGTTTTTTGTTTAAAGATTTTTATTTTTTTTGTGTTTCTGTTGAGGTTTGAAGATAAAGTAAAAACAAAAGATGAATTTGGTTAAATATTCGTTGTTTGTGTTGAGCTTGTGTTCATCAATTCCCTATCTACCAATGGCCAAACAATTAATACCAACAGCAACTTATGAGGAAATAAAAAATATTCTTAATTATCCTGAAAAATATCTTATCGACGTTAGGAACAGGGATGAAATAGCTGAAACTGGAATGATTCCTGGAAGTATCAACATACCATGTAAGCAACATAACACTACTATTACTCTTATCAAATACGAGCAATTTTCATTAAATAAGCTGTAAACGATTTCTAAATGGCAGAACTATGTCATGTTAAATGCTTTTAGTGCAATTTTCTTTTTCGATTGATAAATCTCGAGCGAAAAATATAGCACTCAAGATTAATTTAAAACAGTTTATATATCTAGCAAGTGTAGCAAGATGAAGTTTATACCATGAAGTTTATATTCAAATAATTTGTTTTATATGAGTTGACAAATAAGGTATGATTTAATTCGGTATATGTATGTATGAAAAATATAAATGTCTACTAATAATACTACAAAAATCTTAGATTACTCTTAAAATATTCAAAATATTCGAGCGTAAATCTAGTTTGATTAAAGAATATGCCATTAGTTTCTAAAATCTAAAATCCTACATAAATAAGCAATGTTTATTTGAACTTTATTTAAAAGCTTTGGTAAAGAATTAAATTTAATTTTTTTTATTATTTTACAACACTTAAATTCTCAGAGCTTTTTGTGAACAAAATCCAAAGCAGATTTCATCAAAAATTAATTTGCTCAGTTATTCCAGTTAGCGTTGGATTTGCGTTCAATCAGTTCGTTGGCATACACATTTGTTCCTATAGCTTTGCGGTTTACAATAGCAACATTAATTGATAGCAATGGCAACTTACGAAGAAGTTAAAGAAATTGCAAATTATCCTGAAAAATATCTTATCGATGTTAGAAACAAGGATGAATTAGCTAAAACTGGGGTGATTCCAGCAAGTATTAATATACCAAGTAAGCAACATAACATTATTATACTTAAAAAATAATTATAATTTTAATTAAATAAATTATCATAGATTTCTAAAAATAATGTTGTTTTAAAAGTTGTTGTAGTAATAATTAATGTTAAGTTTAATATTTACACGGGACGGTGTTGTGAATAAAATAACTCAAATCATTTTAAGTCTCATTTTTTATAAAAAAAGTGAAGAAAATAAAAGAAGTTAGTTGTGTTTTTAATTTATAATTTAATAAACAATTTTCGGAAAAACCATTTCTTCTTCATTTCAATATCTTAGAGAATAAAAATTATATGCATTTTTTTAAAAATATTTTTAAAGAGCTAACAAACTTAAACAAAATAATTTGTTTATTCCTTTTATATATTTTTGAATGAACATAGTTTGGATGTTTTTTGTTAATGACATTTTACTTACTTTCTTACTAAAATGACTATCACGTCAACGCTGATCATGTCATGATCATATCAGTTCAAACAACTTGTGCTTCCATCTAGATCTATATTCACCATTAACGTGAATGGAATCAATTATTGTGTAGAGAATTTATCCCTTGAAAACTTCTTTGAGTCGTCAATTATTGTTATTCTCTCTCTCCTTGTTTTGACGCCTTATAACAGATTGGGTAATGTATGCAACTTGTCTAATATCTAATGTTGAGCCTTTTCCGAGTTAGTGTACCTGGGCACTTTTACTCTTTGTTAGCTGGGGGGTTTCTGCAGAATCCCTCCCACCCATCTCACTAACTAATTTGTGTATTCCTCATCAGTAATAAGATATACGTACCGCCCCGTGCTGTTAGTGATTACTCTGAGGTTAGATAGTGCTATGTAGGGCAGCCTGTTGATTTTCGCATATAGCTTCAGGGCTCTGTTCCTTATTTACCCATTTCCCGCTAAAAATTTGATATCACATGTTGGTAAAAGTTATTTTCCACTTGATTAGAAGGTTAATGTTATTGTTCGTTTATAGGTAGACAGAAATAATAATAAATTGATGGAGTTTGCTGTTATTGCTTTGCTATTACTGATTCGTAGGTGTTCAACTTCATCCTTACAAAAACGATTCTTCGCTTTTTTAGAAAGTTAATGTTGTTGCTGATTCACACGCATAGGTAGACAACAACAATAATTATTTGATGTGTAGATACACAACTTCAAACTCACAACGGTGACTCTTTGCTTGTTTAGAAGAATGATTATATTTAAACAAATTAACAACATCTAGTCATATTGACTAACAAGAGTTTTTTTAATTAATATATTACAAGTAATGTTACTTATCTAAAGTGAGCATAAAGATCTGAGCTAATCATCTTCTTGCTGGTTGAAACTCCTTTGGTTTGAAGCGACATAAGCGTCTGTGACAGTAAGGCCCAAAGTATTAACACATTTGTAATTTAAACTTATTAAAAACATTTAATTTATTGAATTTCTATTCATTGCACAGAAAATTATGCTTCGGAATTATCTGGAACATAATGTATTACCATTGAAATTCAACAATTGTGGTATAGATAATAAAACACTGTTCGTATGATTTGTAACATTTTATTAATATTAGTATTTGTGATAACAATTTTTAAATAAGTAGATAACAACAGGAAAATTTTGTAGGTAAATTTAAAAAAAGGTATTGCTAAAAATAACTAATTAACACATATTTCTGTGTATATACAATTTTATATATATATATTAAATTCAAGCTGTTTTTCTATTTTTATTTGAAATAGTATTGAATTAGTTTATCTATAATAGTAATTTAAATTACTGTTTTTATTATGAGAAAGTCCTTTTAAATTTAATAACTATTTTTACCTTTGTCCTTAAGTGGTCAAATTTAATTCTCGCATGTGGCTAGTACTTATTTATACATAAATATATAAATAAGATATTGATTGAAAACGTTTCCATTATGTAAACATAAAACTATATATAAATAAGCCAACACGCAATATATATTAATTTTTTTATATACTGAAAATATATAACAGAAACTAAGTTCAGTCTTACGGCACGCATAGCGAACATTTCTGAGGAATAATCAAATACCTTAACAATACATTTAATGCATTTATAAATAAATAAATAATAATACCATTATTTTATTTTACTTTTTACATTGAGAAACTGTAATTTGAGCATGCGAGTAGATATAATTTGTGTTCTTTTAAGATAGTATCAAATATCAATATGTTTGGTTTTACATTTTATCACAAATAGTCAGTCTAAGATTGAAACATGGGGAAGATATTTCAAATGACAAATTAAAATAACAATCAAAATATGTTTTTTTATAAAAATGAAATATCTCTCATCACCAAATTGTTTTATATACTCATTTTAAATAATTCTTTTTGTCTGCATTTAATATAATACACATTTTTAATACCCGTAAAATTACTACACACCTTAACTTTATATTACATATTCAAAATAATTCCATTCTATGTATACATTTTAGTCTAATTTCTTAACTATTCTATAACATATATTTATAAATCACAATACACATTTTCATTGCTATGAACAAAATTAATCAATTTCTGGACTTACGTATAATGCAATAAATTCTAAGTTTTATTATAAATAATTAATATCTAAATTTTTAGTACATCAATAAATTCTTTCAACAAAATTTATTTATATCAAATATATATATATTCTTCAAACATACAATTGACCAAAAGTTTATAATGAATATTTAAGTTCACCAAGCAAATGCAAATTCTAATAAGTGAGAAAAATATTTCAATCATGCCTGTTTTTATATCGGCTTAAATATAAACTAGTCTAATATATCTTCAATATTTGTTAGAATAATTGAAGTAATTTGATTATAGTTGGAGTAGCTAACACATAATACAAATTATAATACATTCAATTTTTATATACTTGTTTCTTTTAATTTAATTAATGGCTAAGATGAAATCTTATATATTTTTTATAAACAATATATTACAAATCTATCTATTACAAAATTACAAAATATTACAAAATTATATAAAATAATAAAGCAATTGTTTACATATTTTTACATATAGCTACCAATTCACATATAATTTTCATAAGAGTTATTCTTAAACAAATCAGATAAGAATTACATATAGTACCAGATATTTCATACTTTGGTAAATGAATGAGACACTAGTGTTAAAGAATTTTAATAGATTGGTTTTGTTTTTAATATAGCCACTTAATGGCTTTAATGATGCGGTTCCGATTTCTCAGACATGTCTATACCTTTATCTCTCAAAGTTATTTGGAACAAATTTTTCTACTATACTATATGAAGATATAGCTAACTTTTCTAGATATCGAAGTTTAAAATTGTTAATTATTTACATTGATTATAACAACAAAAACACACATACACAACTAAAAATAACTTTGAAACCCAATGTCTCGAGAATTAAGCTATATTTATATATAGTATAGTGGAAAAAGTTGTTTAAAATACTTATTCTTTACTAAAATTTGCTGTTAAATAGGTGTGACCGAGAAATTGGAACTGTGACGCTTGAGTTTGTAAAACATTCAGCAATATATTCTTGGAAATATGTAAACTGAATTTATGTTTTAAATTAAAAGGAAAAACTGCAAGAAACAAAGTTTACCATAAAAAAAAATTGTTTCTAATAAGTCTTAGTAATCAATATGGTTGGTCACATAAAATTTGTTAGTCATATAAAAAGAAACTGAATAGATACAAAAATGTATACTAATATTACATATTTTCAAAAGAAAAGAGTTTTACTCATATTCATATATCACTTATATATAAATATATATATTGGTAATAAAACAACCAAGTTGGTATTTATTTTAAACGTTTAACCATCTGTCAATTGTTATCAAAAAAAACAATTTCATGATATAGATTTTACTTTTTAACGATAAATGCATACCACCTCTAACGTTATGTTATTCATGAGCTTTCTAACTTGATAAGATTGTCAAATTATTTAAACCTAAAAAAGCACCGAAATTTGTTTAATTTCGATAACATACGATAAAATTAGTCATTATAAAAATAGTTTATTTTTTTCTAATCAATTTAACTGCAATAAAATTGATTTTTGTTATTAATATATTAATTATTTAATACAATAATGTTATATTATTTCTTTCTCATAAACCTCGAATATATCTATTGCATTTTATAAAAACTAAAATTACTGATTTTGTTTGTCAATTTTATATAAAATTTGGTTTTAATTATTTTCTTTTTTTTCTTTGATTAGTGTCTGAATTAGAGGCAGCATTTAAGATGTCTGAAAATGATTTTAAAACAGCATTCAATCGTGACAAACCAACCGAAGAGACAGTGTTAATCTTCTCATGTCAAGCAGGTGGCCGGGCACAACGTGCCACTGACTTAGCACAATCTCATGGTTTCAAAAAGTAAGTTATACATATTACTTCGAATGTAAAATCTTAGAAATATACAAATATTTTTAATTGTCTATTTATAGCGCTAAAGCTTATGCTGGTTCATGGACTGAATGGGCGGAAAAAGAGAACCTATCTTAAAATTGTATAATATATTTATATATATTATATTGACTAATATATAATATTTGTTTTGTTATATTTTATATTTAATTATATATTATATTTTATTATATTTTATATTTTCTTATATATTATATTTTATTTATATTATATATAATTATATATTATATTTTTTTATATATTATATATTTTTATATACAATATTTTATTATATATTATATTTTTTTTTATATTATAATATATTATATTTTATGTAGATATAATACAAATGTTTTTTTTATGATTAGTTACAATTACAATAAATATCAATACATTTAAAAGATTATTTTAAATCCCCCCAGCTTTTTCCTATCTTAACCTTTACTTTAAGTGGTATTTTTAATTGCACGCATTTTTCCATTGTTGTGCTTAGGACTTTAGCGATGTGTTTTGCTTTGTCTTTTGGTACTTCGAAAATTAATTCGTCATGCACATGCAAAACTAATCTTACTGAATTCTCTTCAATACCCAAATCTGAACTATATTTTTGTATATTTTTCTCCGTAAGCAAAATAGCTCTTTTCACTATATCAGCCGCAGAGCCCTGAATACTTGCATTAATGGCACGACGCTCAGCTTGGTCTGTAATAAGTTGTCTACTGTAGAGCAGTTAATATTTTTAAAAAGTGCAACTTACTTTTAATTCTTATATCAGCATTGTTGATGTTTTCCACATAACGTCGACGCCCAGTTATAGTCTCAATATAACCATTGATTCGTGCAAATCTTACAATTTTCTCTGCATAAGTTCTATTAAAAAATATTATTTAATATAATCACAATAATAGAAATATATTAAAACGAAAATTTAGTGCGGTTTTGGGAATATTATATAGGACAAAGACAAAATTAGTGAACTATCTACTACACAAAAAAATATAGATATAAAATAAAAACTTACTACTTAAATATATATATATATAAATATATGAGGTTTTAAGCTATATCAAAAAATAATACGAAAAAAAGTAGATTATATATATACATGTTGAAAATAAATTTTACATAGTTTTTGTAAGTAGAAATTATACCTAATATAAGGATATGCAGCATGAAATTCTCTTGAGAGCAAATTGGCCTGTTCTTCAGTGCATTTAAGAGAATCTGCTAAACTACACATACCCATGCCATACACAATGCCGTAACATATTTTCTTGGTATCATTTCTTAATTGGTCTGTAACATTATCATCGGATACTTTATACCAACTTGCGGCTATAGCAGTAAAAATATCCTTTTTCGTACGCATAACTTCTAATAATGCAGGGTCCTGTTCAAAGAAGAATGCAAAAAATTAAATTGTATATTAATAGCAGTGAGTACTTCTGGAATACCACGAACCTTCGATAAATGCGCTAGTATGCGCATCTCTAGTTGACAAAAATCAATAGATATAAGCCAGCGCTTTGGATCTGTTGGGTAAAATGCACGACGACAAGATATTTCCAAATTATCACTATCTTCTCCTATTAATTCATAAAAAATACAATACAGTTTCAACTTTTATAAAAATATTATGCTTGCTCACCTGTATATACTTCAAAGTTCTTAGCAACATTTTGTAAATTTGGTTCCACCATTGATATGCGTCCAGTGGAAGTAAATGTGTTACTTT